TTTTCCTTAGGCTTAGATTTTCAGCTTTCTCTGGTCTGCTTGGTAGTTACCACTTACCCATCTTCTGCTATTGCTTCCTGTCCTTGTGAGTTTATACAGTTTTTCCACTATTGTCATTTCCATGAGGTTTTGGAAGAATATAGAGAGTAAAACATTCATGTTTAACCAGAAGTCTCTTCTCATCTTAAGGTCCCTATTAGTACCATAAATGGGGTCAAATAGAAGTTAATAACATTAGACAAAGTTAATTGGGACTTCTGTCCTATTAAGGTGGTCTGTTTGTCTAAAAGGTTTTGTAAACTGCTTTTAAAGGTCTCTTATTACATAGTCCTAGAAACATAAACAACATTTATTCTTCTTCATTCTCATATTGAGTCAAGGAGGGCTTAAATCTAATAACTGCTGTAGAAGAAAAAATATTTCAGAGGAATCTAGTTGCTTTGCCAGCATGAGTCAGTATTAACCAATTCTATGTTTGGATTAGAAGTTGGCCCATATAAAACAAGCCTTCTTATGAATTAGTATATTCTAATCAAAATTCCTCAGGATAGGATGATTTAGGACTGTCACTAGGTCTTTACATGAGCAAAAGAAACAAAATTAGAATTATGACACAGTCCACCTCAGACAAAATGAAGGAATTCTTAAGTGAGGGAATCTCACTGCTTGTTTTCAGCTAAACAGTGTCTCATCAATGTTACATATAAGGAAATGATGAAAAGAAAACTGTCTCAAAAGAGTATCATCTTAGTTCTAACCCTTCATTTTATAGAGGAGGAAGCTGGAAATCCCTGAGCAATGAAATGATTTGACCAAGGTAACTCATCTAGTTATTAGTATGCCACTAAACTGCAGTTCTTGACTCCCAAATAATTGTTCTTTCCATTGTGGTAAAATAATAGAAGAGGGAGATGCAGTGCATCTATTGGTGGATATTTTTGCTGCTGACTGAGCAGAGGAGTTATATAAGTGACAAGCCTTGTATACTGATTGAAAGAGGTAGAACTTTGGAATCCACACAATCCAAAATTGTGTGGTATTAATGAGAAAAGGACAGATTTAGGCTAGACTGGAAAGGAAATATCAGCAGGCCTTGGAGATGAACTTCACTCACATAAAAAGTAGAAAAGGCATATCAGGCTGGGCGTGGCCCACGCCTGTAATCCCAGCACTTTGGGAGGCTGAGGTGGGCAGATCATTTGAGGTCAGGAGTTCAAGACCAGCCTGGCCAACATGGTGAAATGCTATCTCTACTAAAAATATGAAAATTAGCCAGGTATGGTAGTGTGAGCCTGTAATCCCAGTTACTCAGGAAGCTGAGGCAGGAGAATTGCTTGAACCTGGAGGTGTAGGTTGCAGTGAGCCAAGATCACACACCACTGCACTCCAGCTTGGGTGACAGCGATAACCTATCTCAAAAATAAAAAGGGAGCATGTCAGACAAGGAAGACACCAGAGTTGTAGTGATAGGGCAAGGTAATGAAATCAGAGATTGCTATTGAATTTGATATACTAACTGGACAAGTCAGTTAAAAGAGCTGCCTAGATGTCAAGATCAATTTATTCCTATTTCTGATTTGCCCATTTTCAGTCAGTGGCATGAAAATCTCCCAGTTGGGATTAGAAAATTGGTAGAATAGAAAAAATAGGGCGTTTTTTAGCTCCTCTATTTTCCCCAGATGTCTTATTTCTATATTTTAAATATCTGCAGTCACAAACTGAAAATAAAACCAACTCAACATTATTTCTCTTCCAAAGATTCTCTTACTCTTTCTGTTTTAATCTTTGATATAACCATTCACAGTACTTAGAATGTATTATAATCATTTATTTACTTGTCTCTCCTTCCCACTGGATCATGAGCTTCTTGAAGATTATCTTACTTGTAGATATATCCCTAGTGCATTGCACATATACTTTGCTCAGGAAATATTTTGTTGCTGAAAAAGAGCTTTGCTCACCAGGTCAAATAAAAATTTATCTTGGTATTCCAACTTGTCAAGATTCTGGATCCTCCCCATTTCACCTTGACGCAGTAGTAAATCTCATTTGGTTCCTCCCTGTTCATCATTCAGGCCTTCATGTCTTTGTTTGCACTGGGTACTCCATGTTTGGACTCTTGTTTTCTAGGCCCTGTTGTTCCTACCCATCTAAATTCCACTCAAAAAGTCTTAAAGCTTGTGCCCTGATCCTACATCTTTCTTCTAGCCTTCCTATGTAAGTTAAGACTGATCTTGCCCTTCTCTGAATCCCACAGTAATCATTGCTGTAGTAAATTGGTTTTTTCTTTTTTGCACTAACAAATTTTTATTTCACTCAAATTAGAGCAAAAAATCTTCTATACATAAGTATCTTCCCTGCCCAATAATTCAAAGAAAAAAAAATCCAAAATGATTAGTAAAGAAAAATATAAAAATTAATAGACCCTTTAAATTTGTTTTAAATATTTTTAATGTTAAAAAGGGTTTAAAGTTGGTAATAGGAAAACATTATCTGAATGAATACCCTAATGGCAAACCACTGTAAAATGCTTCAGCTGCATTTGCAGAAGAGGAATAGGGATTATCTTCAGAGCACCCCAGCTCTTGATGAAAAGGTCGGAGGTACACTGGTTTATATTATTGCAACATCCATAAGGTGATCTAGGTTGCTTTTCCTTCAGCAAAGGCTTTATTTATCAGGACATTACGCTTGACCTCCAAATTTGGCTGACAATTTGCTGATAAGATTCATAACCTTTGGGTTGTTCTGGTATTTTGACATATTTGCTGGGTTCTGAGCCACATCCTGGAAGGCCACCATAACTTCTGGATCCTGAATGACTGCAAGATCCTTTGGATCACTAAGAATTTCATTGAGTCCAGGCATTCCGGCCATTCCAGACATGCCCCCTCCCATTCCAGGCATTCCTCTGGGAAAACCACCAGACATTCCCCCAGGAAAGCTACCTGGAAAAGAGCCATACTGAGCTCCTGACTCGTCTGGCTTCTTCCTCCCTCTGGGCTCTCATGTGCTCTTCTCAAGCATTCTTAACTCTTTCTGTTCTTTCTTTGATCTCTCGCTCTTCACGTTTTCGCTCATACTTTCTCTGATGTTCTGCAATTTTCTGTGCCCTAGGTTGAACTTCTTTCAGCATTGCACTCCCATCTTCATCATAATCCAATTTACAGGCAAGGGCAAGATCATGGGCTGTTTCTTCCCAGTGGCCTAGATGTCTGTGTGCTTTCCCTCTCCACTTGTAAGGCTGAGCTGAATCAGGATTTATTTCAATGGCCCTGTCACAGTCTCGGATGGCAGCATTTGTGTTCTGTAATTTGACGAACACACTGGCCCTCTTGGCATACAAAATGGCCAAGCAAGGATTCAGCTTTATGACATCTGTGAATAAGTCAATGGCTTTCTGCAATTCACCGTCATTTAAGGCTTCAGTAGCAGCCACTTTCTTATCATTTGCCTGATCCATCGTCTCCTCTGTTACCTCTGCATTTTCATCTCCCATTTCTTGAGGGGCATCAGTGTCTGGTTCAGTCACACCTTCATTATCAATTTCTAGATCACTTTCCTCACTTGATGGTTCGTCTGCCTTTAAGTCTTCCTCTGCCTTCTTACTATCAGGTTTTTCTTCCTTGGTATTTTCTTCTGATTTAGCTTTCTGAATAGCAGGTGATACTTTACCCCCCATACTCTCCACCCACTCCCTCAGGAAGCGCATTTCCTCGGTGTGCAGAATGCTTGGATCTTGCTTACACATCTTCACAAAGGCCCGAAGCTCGTTCACTTTGTGGGGGTCCACGGTCGGGAGGTGGTGGGTGAAACAGGATCTGTGGCCCACTTCCAGGCCCAGGCGCTGGATCGGCGTGACCGTGCAGAAGGGGCTGCTATAGTAAATTGTTTTATCCCTTAATCATAGTCTTGGTGCTACCTTGGATATAATAGCAATAGCTACCATTTAATTGAATATCTCATACATACCAGGCTCTAGGTATATACCTTATCTTCTCAAACGGGCTCATGCTCCTCAAATCTACAGTAGTGTTATCCCCATTGTGTAGCCAAAAGGTAACTGAGGCTCAAAGAGTTCAAATAAGTATCTTGCTTATGATTGCACAGATCCTGTAATGCTTAAGTTTTTGTCAAAAAAAAATGATTACACAGATCTGAATTCATATCTTTCTGTCTAAGCTCCAAAAAACATTTGCTCTTTCAGCCGTACAACAGTATGTCCTCTCTCTCCCTCTTGCTTCCTTCTCTCCTTCCCTCAAAATAGACCTTTTTGGATATAAGTGTTCTTTCCCCCATGTCTGCCCCATTTTAGGTATCTTAATGAATGTTGAGTTTCATTGATAGGACTTATGGAATGTTGAAACCTATTTGGTATTTGGTTTATTTATTTATTTATTTGTTCGTTTGTTTTTTTGAGACAGAGTCTTGCTCTGTCGCCAGGCACCAGGCTGGAGGGCAGTGGTGCAATCTCGGCTCACTGCAACCTCCGCCTCCCAGGTTCAAGCAATTCTCCTGCCTCAGCCTCATGAGTAGCTGGGACTACAAGTGTGCGTGACCACACCCAGCTAATTTTTGTATTTTAGTAGAGATGGGGTTTCACCATTTTGGCCAGGATGGTCTCGATCTCTTGACCTCGTGATCTGCCTGCCTCAGCCTCCCAAAGTGCTGGGATTACAGGCATGAGCCACCACGCCCAGCCAGAATGCCTTTTTTTTAACAGTTGCATGCTTTTTTGCCATTTTCCACAGCTGTGATTAAAATGTGTGCATTTGATGTTAAAGCCAATACCTAATGTTTTCTCTGTATTTTTTCCAACTTAAAAGCATGGATTTTGTAAATATTCACAACTTCCTTTGGTTATTGATTTTGTAAATTCAAAAATAATAAAACATTCGCATTTTCGCAAAATTTAATTTAACATGGGCACCAAAAAGAATTTGCTTTGAAGATTATCTTTGAAAGATATTACAATGTAGCATACATACAATCTTTTATAGTTCGAGACCGAGTTCGGACAAAAATGGAACGTGATATCTTGGTAGAAGTTAATCATCCTTTTATTGTCAAGTTGCATTATGGTAAGTATGAACCATCTCCCACATCATCCCTTCACCTCATTTCTCAAAATCCCTGAGGACATTCAGATATACTAATATAAATAAATATATATTTGTATGTGGTTAGCAGATCTATATAGTAAAAAATCATGAAAATTAAAACATTATTTCTTAGACAAACTTTAGAACCTTTATTGTGTTTAGCTTATGTTTTCCTTAAATATTATAAAGTTAGTTTCTGAGTGGTAGCCGTAGGAACAGTAATGATAATCATTGCTTTTTATTATAACAATAATGAATAATAATATGCCAGCCTTTTATAGCCTATATGTGTTAGCCCACCCTAAAAGCCAAACATATCTCTAATGTCAAGGTCCTAAAACTGTTGTCACTGCTGTTCTTTTCCCCAAAGCCATATGCTTTTTCTCAATGGGTAAAGGTATGGTGATTCTAACTATGGGTAATTAAAACTAACCAACCCACATTTTTTTCTGTAGCTAGTGGCATGGTTTTTCTATGTTATTTCATGGTTAACTAAGTTTTTTTTGGTTAGGATTTTTTCTTATATAACATGAGTTTAGAACTGTTGTATTCCTGAGTGACTTGCCTGTAGAAAATCTAGTTCCATAATAAGAAACACTGCATTTTAACATTTCCACATGGAAACTAAGATAAATCAGTGGTTTTCTTCTAAGTAAAAGTAAGTTAGACATTTGATATAATTAATTTGCTAAAATATTCACTTTTGAATGACCTAATATAAACCTAAAAGAATTGTGGTGGACTAAATGAAAATTTTCATTTTTTCATTCAGCTTTTCAAACTGAAGGGAAGTTGTATCTTATTTTGGATTTTCTCAGGGGAGGAGATTTGTTTACACGCTTATCCAAAGAGGTATATAATTAATCTCTGTTTTCAATCTATTTATATACATCCTGTTTGAACTAAAGCTTTGTTATATTTCAGTATTATGCTTACTGCATTTTCTCTAGTGGCACAAGATTCTTGAAGAATCAGACCCCAAAAGAGTTCTTTTCCTACCTCTTGAATTTATTTTGAAAGCAGGACTTTAAATTGACAAGCAATCTTTGTCTTAACTCTGCCTCTTTGATAGTTTTTTCCAGAAACAATAATATATCAACAAGGTATCCTTAAACAATTAGTACTAGAAATTCAGCATGCATTTTAAAGACTACTTTTCATTTCTAAAATGTTACTGTCATGGGACAACAGTGGCACAACCTGAATATACTTGTTACTTAACAAAATGTAAAATCATTTCTCCTATAGTGCATAGTTAATATTAAGTAATTGGTTGACTGATTAGATAACTTTGCAAATTCCTTTCATGAGAAAATTGTAGATAAAGCTATGTATAATTATCAGATTTAGAAAATTTTTAGACTATTTAAACTGTAGAGTGGAACTTTAAAAATTACACAAAAGAAAATAAATTTAGAAAAATTACTGTTTTATTTTAGGTGATGTTCACAGAAGAAGATGTCAAATTCTACTTGGCTGAACTTGCACTTGCTTTAGACCATCTACATAGCCTGGGAATAATCTATAGAGACTTAAAACCAGAAAAGTAAGGAATCATGCTTCTAAGTTGAATACAATGTAATATAATTGTTTAGGAGGTTATAAAAAATAAAGTGATTTCATGACGCCCCCACAATATTGCACTAGCATTCCTGTGCTTCACATCTCTGCTAACACTGTATTTTCATACTTTAAAAATCTCAATTAATCAAAAAAATATTGTTTTCATGTGCATTCTTTAATTTTTTTTTTTAAGATGGAATTTTGTTCCTGTTGCCCAGGCTGGAGTGCAGTGGTGCAATCTTGGCTTACTGCAACCTCCACCTCCCAGGTTCAAGAAATTCTCCTTTCTCAGCCCCCCAAGTACCTGGGATTACAGGCAACTGCCAACACACCCAGCTAAGTTTTGTATTTTTAGTAGAAACAGGGTTTCACCATATTGGCCAGGCTGGTCTGGAACTCCTGACCTCAGATTATCCACTTGCCTCAGCCTCCCAAAGTGTTGGGATTACAGGCATGAGCCACCACGGTCAGCCCATTCTTTCATTTTTGATGAGGTTGAAATCTACATTCATTGATTTGTATTTTGTGTGAGTTTTCTATTCATGATTTTTGTTCATTTTTCTTTTAGAATGTTGTTTTTGGCCTAGCATGGTGGTTCTGTAATCTCAGCACTTTGGGAGGCCAAATCACATGAGCCCAGGAGTTGGAGACCAGTGTGGGCAACATGGTGAAACCCTGTCTCTACAAAAAATTAGCTGGGCATGGTGGCACATGCCTGTAGTCCCAGCTAGTCAGGAGGCTGAGGCAGGAGGATTGCTTGAGTCTGGGGTATTGAAGTTGCAATGAGCCAGGATCGCCCCACTGCACCTCCAGCCTGGGCAACAGAGTGAGACCCTGTCTCAATAACAAAAAAAAAAAAATTACATTTTTCCAGTCTTTTAATTTAAACTTTATGTTGTTCAATATATGCACTTTTTTTCCTTCAGGCAGATAGACCAATCTTCTTTCACCATTTATTCCGACTTTTATTCTTAGGCTTTCCCCAAGTCTATGATCAGATATTTTCCTTCTAATTTTATAGTTTCTTTTTTTTCTTTTAACTCCTTTTTTAGAATTTTTTTGGTGAGAGGGATGGTATAGAGCTAACCCTTTCTTTCTCCCCAAATACCACTTATTGAAAATTTACTTCTCCATGTAATTTCAAATTGTAAGTGTGAGTTGAGCAACTTTCCCACAGGTTTGATAGTAACAGTCATCAAGAAGCAAATATCATTTAAATTGTACATATTTCTCTTTAATTTGTTGATGTTTATTTACCACTGAGGAAGAAATATTCGGGTTTTTTTTTTCATTTTTAAAGCATATAAGCAAGAGCCTTGCTCTACCAGGAATATTTTTTAATAGCTTTATTGAATTATAATTCATATATTATACAAATCATCGGCTGGATGCAGTGGCTCACACCTGTAATCCCAGCACTTTGGGAGGCCGAGGGGGACAGATCACTTGAGCTCAGGAATTCAAGACCAGCCTGGCCAACATGGTGAAACCCTGTCTCTACTAAAAGTACAAAAATTAGCTAGGCATGGTGGCATGCACCTGTAATCCCAGCTAGTTGGAAGTCTGTGGCAGGAGAATCGTTGGAACCTGGGAGGTGGAGGTTGCAGTGAGCCGAGATCATGCCACTGCACTCCAGCCTGGGTGACAAGTGTGAAACTCAGTCTCAAAAAAAAAGTGTACAATTCATTGATATTTAGTATATTCACAGAGTTGTACAACCATCATAATTATCAAGAATTTTGAATATTACAGATGTGAACAGGCAATTCTCAAAAGTAGACATTTACGCAGCCAACAAACACAGGGAAAAAAGTTCATCATCACTGGTCATTAGAGAAATGCAAATCAAAACCACAATGGGATACCATCTCATGCCAGTTAGAAAGGCAACCATTAAAAAGTCAGGAAACAACAGATGCTAGAGAGAATGTAGAGAAATAGAAATGCTTTTATACTGTTGGTGGGAGTGTAAATTAGTTCAACCATTGTGAAAGATAGTGTGGCGATTCCTCAAGGATCTAGAACCAGAAATACCATTTGACCCAGCAATCCCATTACTGGGTCTATACTCAAAAGATTAGAAATCATTCTACTATGAAGACACATGCACACATATGTTTATTGCGGCACTGTTCACAATAGCAAAGACTTGGAACCAACCCAAATGCCCACCAGTGATAGACAGGATAAAGAAAATGTGGCAAATATACACCATGGAGTACTATGCAGCCATTAAAAAGGATGAGTTCATATCCTTTGCAGGGACATGGATGAAGCTGGAAACCATCATTCTCAGCAAACTAACACAATAACAGAAAACCAAACACTGCAAGTTCTCACTCACAAGTAGGAGTTGAACAATGAGAACACATGGACATAGAGAGTGGAACATCACATACTAGGGCCTGTCAGTGGGGGGCTAGGGGAGTGATAGCATTACGAGAAATACCTAATGTAGTTGACAGGTTGATGGGTGCAACGAACCACTATGGCAAGTGTATACCTATGTAACTAACCTGCACGTTCTGCACAGGTACCCCAGAATTTAAAGTATAGTTTAAAAAAATGTTAGTACAAAATTTTAATTATATATTAAGACAGGAAGAGAGAAAATGTTCATCTGGAACTCTTCTGAGTGATCATTTAGAAATTGTTATACTTTTATATTCTACTTTGTTTTTCATTTTGTTTTTGGATAAGTTTCATATGGTTTTGTTTTTATTTCCCAAATAATTGCTGAGTTTTCCTGATTATTTTCCCAACTTATGACTGTCATAACACCAAATATAATTATTGGTGAGAATGAATATTCAAGCATATAGTCCTTAGAAAAATTACTATAAGATTAAACATTCATAAAAATGTGTGTTTTATACTATTTAATTGAATATATTTACCATAGACCATTGTATTGGCATTGGTCATAAAGTTATATTAAAGTATGAGCCCTGTCTCAAGAATTAAATAAGATCAGATGTAGATAAGATTGCTTATATTAAGATCTTACACATACATGTCTATATGATGCTATTAACTTGAAATAACACATACTTGGTAAATTATACAAGTAAATACCACCATACAAAACTTGGGAGAAATTTAAATTTTAAGGCCCAATGTTTTATTAACTGTTAGTTGTTTTTCAGGTTCTTTTAAACTAGAACTCTGTTATAATAAATATGACTAAAAATAATTATTAACAATTGAAAGGGCATGTTTATTGAGAGTGATACAGTTGATTTTTTTTTTCAAAGATAACATATAGGCATCGTTTTCTTAAAATAATGCACTTGCTACAAAAGGCATAACTAATGCCCTTTTAGCCATATTGTCTTTTTTTTCCTTTCAGAATTACCAAGAATGACTTGAAGCTTGTTTTGTTTTTAGAATTGTTTTTCATGTATTCATTAGAAGGGGGGATGATTTCTACAATACCTAATAATGCCATATATATTCTCTAAATGTGTTGATCGCTTCATAATCAAGCATAATCAATATTAGTGCTTTTTCATAACAAGTAGTTGTGATAAAGGAAACGTGAAAAATATGTCTCTACTGAATTACCTTCTGTGGTAAACATTGTAATGGTGTTTTTATGAAATAGAAAGGTTTATAATATTTTCGTCATAGTAAAATTTTATAACAAAATTTGACTTGCACATTTTTCATAAAAATAAAAGGAAATCCCTATATTGTGGGATAGCTTTAAATATAAGTGAAACAGTTTATTACTTGACCCCATACCTATCCAGAAATAATTAGGTTGGTGCAAAAGCAATTGTGGTTTTTTTCATTACTTTTCATTAATTTTGCACCAACTTAGCATAATTATTGACTTACAGCTTAGTACGCTCTCCTTTCTGTAGCTCCTTGATTAATAGCATTACTCTCCACTCAAGTATCTGCTCAAGCCAGAAACCTGAGTGTCATTCTCCATTTGTTCTTTATCATGACCCAATGAGCTAACTAAATGCCCTTTATTTTCTCCGTAAATTTATCTGTCCTCCATGAATATATACCTTTTATGGTCTCCCTTGTCCTTGAGAGGAAGCCCAAACTATTTGGAATGCCCGGTAGGCCCTTTACAAACAGGCCTTACTTATTCAACATTTCTTATTTGTACTGTTCTCTGCCAGACCCTGAGCTATAAAGATGAATAAGGTCAAACCTTCTGGGAACTCACAGTTTACTGGGGAAGAGAGAAAACTGTGGAGCATGTGTATAGTGAAGGGAAGGAGTATGGGAAAGGAGAAGAGGATTGTGTAGGTCGTGTCAGGAAAATGAATAAGGAAACAATGATTGAGTCAGATACCTTTATAATGACCAAGATAGCTGGCCACGCAGTAGCTCATACCTTAGGGAGTAATCCCAGCACTTAGGGAGGCAGAAGCAAGAGGATAGCTTGAGCCCAGAAGTTCAGGATCTGCCTGGGCAACATAGTGAGACCCTATTCTCCACAGAAAGGAAAAAAAGGCAAAATGAAATAACCAACAGCATGACAAGTCTGATGTTTGAATTAAATGTGTGGAACTTCTGTCTATTATGCAGGCACTAGGGGGTTTAGTCAGACCACATCCGCAGAAAGGCATTAGAAAAGCAACTGGGAAGAATACAGATGATTTCTTTTCCTAATAATTTTCAGGTGCCCCTGGCATATTAATAGAAGTTTATGGCATTGCCTTTGAGATTTGTTATAAATGTATGTCCAAAAAATAATTTGGTTTTCCTTTACCTTTGCCATCTTATTCACAGTTTAAAGTAATATTTTAGAATAAATGTGCTGATCTGATGCTTAAGGACATGATTTCAGTCTTAGCTTCTGTAAATCTTTATTTAGTATTTTTTTAAAGATTTTCTTTGTTTTTTTCAGCATACTTCTTGATGAAGAAGGTCACATCAAGTTAACAGGTAAAAAATCCTCATTTTATTAAAATACTTTCTCCTACAATATATACTTTCTTTTAAGATTGACTGTGGTACAAATACTGAGTAATACACTGTATTAAAGTTAAAAACTTACATTAGGGCCAGGTGTGGTGGCTCACCCCTGTAATCCCAGCACTCTGGGAGGCCAAGGCAGGTGGATCGCTTGAGGTCAGGAATTCAAGACTAGCCTGGCCAATGTGGTGAAACCAGTCTCTACTGAAAATACAAAAAATGAGCTGGGCATGGTGCACGCCTGTAATCCTAGTTATTTGGAAGGCTAAGAGAGGAGAATCGATCGAACCCGGGAGGCAGAGGTTGCATTGAGCCAAGTTTGCCCGGGCAGCAGGGCGAGACTCTGTCTCAAAAAAAACAAAATAAAACTTGTATTAGAAATTTGAAATGATTAATATAAATGTCAGAACTCAAAGTTTAAAATTTACATATGCAAATTTATGTAGGATATTTATGATACTTGTTTCGACAGATTTTGGCCTAAGTAAGGAGTCTATTGACCATGAAAAGAAGGCATATTCTTTTTGTGGAACTGTGGAGTATATGGCTCCAGAAGTAGTTAATCGTCGAGGTCATACTCAGAGTGCTGACTGGTGGTCTTTCGGTGTTTTAATGGTAAGGTTTGGATTTGGGGTTTTTTAGGGGGAAGGGGTTTGTTTGTTAAGTGAGGATCAGCAGTGAATGTTACAAGAGAGAAACTGGTATTTTTATTTTGTGTATTTTATACCATATGTAATAACCAAGAAAAATTATTACATTCAGTATAGAAGGACTGAAATCTATTAGCTGTTTCTATCTCATCCTAATTTGAAAAGGAAAAAAGATATTACCATAGATTTCCTGCTAATCGTAACAGTTTAAACTATTAATGATGTTTAGTCTTCTGGAGAAACTGGTCCAGAAATCTATTAAATGACCCTTAAAAATAAAATAAGTTTGTTTGGCCAGGTGCAGTGGCTCACACCTGTAATACTAGCACTTTGGGAGGCCAAGGCGGGTGGATCACCTGACATCAGGAGTTCAAGACCAGCCTACCCAACATGGCGAAACCCCATCTCCACTAAAAATACAAAAATTAGCCAAGCAGGATGGCACACACCTATAATCCCAGCCACTCAGAAGGCTGAGGCAGGAGAATTGCTAGAACTTTGGAGGCAGAGGTTTCAGTGAGCCAAGATTGCACCACTGCTCCAGCCTGGGCAACAGAGTGAGGACTCTGTCTCAAAAAAGTAAAATAAATTCGCTGGGCACAATGGCTCACACCTGCAATCCCAGCATTTTGGGAGGCCAAGGCAGGCAGATCACTTAAAGTCAGAAGTTCAAGACCATCTTGGCCAACATGGTGAAACCCCGTTTCTACTAAAAATATAAAAATTAGACTGGGCGCAGTGGCTAATGCCTGTAAGACCAGCCTGGACAACATGGTGAAACCCCATCTCTATTAAAACTACAAAAAATTAGCTGGGCATGGTGACACACACCTATAATCCCAGCTACTCAAGAGGCTGAGGCAGAAGAATCACTTGAACCCAGGAGATGCAGATTACAGTAAGTCAGGATCGTGCCACTGCACTCCAGCCTGGGTGACAGAGTGAGACTCCATCTCAAAAAAAAATAAATAAGTTCATATGAAATTGGCATATCTATCAAATTGTTCAAATATCTACACTTTAAAATTGCCATGTGAAATGTGATTGATGAAGCTGAGCATGGTGGCCCATGCCTGTAATCCCAGCACTTTGGGAGGCTGAGGTCGGGGGATCCCTTGAGTCCAGGAGTTCAAGACCAACTTGGGCAACATACTGAGACCTTGTTTCTACAAAAAAAAAAAAAAAAAAATACAGAATTACCCATTCATGGTGCCATGGGCCTGTAGTCCCAGCTACTTGGGAAGCTGAGGTGGGAGAATTGCTTGAGCCCAGGAGATGAAAGCTGCAGTGAGCCAAGATTGTGCCATTGCACTCCAGCTTGGGCAACAGAGCCAGGCCCTGTCTCATTAAAAAAAATGTGATTAATTTTTACTAAACTGTATAGCTCAGTTTTAGGAATCATCAAGTTCAGTAACAAATATAGTAGAAATAGAAAGCACTTGTTTTATTATGTAGCAATTTTAGAAGATTTGATTATAGTTAAGATGATGCTTTTTTTAACCTTCTAACCTTGAAATTTTATATTTATTGACTAATACTGATTATTTTGCCTTTCTATAGTTTGAAATGCTTACTGGTACACTACCTTTCCAAGGAAAAGATCGAAAAGAAACAATGACTATGATTCTTAAGTAAGTACTCCCTTAATGTAGATGTCTTGATTAGATTTTGACATAAAAGCTTCAGGCCAGGCACTGTGGCTCATGCCTGTAATTTCAGCACTTTGGGAGGCCGAGGCAGGTGGATCACTTGAGATCAGGAGTTCAAGAGCAGCCTGACCGACATGGTGAAACCCCATCTCTACTACAAATATAAAACTTAGCCGGGTATGGTGGTGCACACCTGTAGTCTCAGCTGCTTGGGAGGCTGAGACAGGAGAATCCCTTGAACTCAGGAGATGGAGGTTGCAGTGAGCTAATATCACACCACTGCACTCCATCCTGGACAATAGAGTGAGACTCCTCAAAAAAATAAAACAAATCCTTCACACTAAAAAATAAGATTTTAGAGTGTTGGCATGTTAATAGTGAAATACTGAAAACTTTACTTTTGAGATTTGTAATATGTCCAGGATGCCCATTACTTCATTTCTGTCTACATTGTCCTGGAAATCCTAGCCAATATGATAAGTCAAGCAAAAAATTAAAGCATAAGGTTTAAAAAGAAAAAATAAAATTATCATTATTTAGAAAACATGACCCTATCCATAGAAGATCCATTCATCAGCTTGTACCACATAGCAAAACCCTGTCTCTACAAAAAATGCAAAAATTAGCCAGGCATGGTAGTGAACACCTGTAGTCCCAGCTACTTTGTGGGGTGAGGGATGGGGGCTAAGACTGGGGGATCATTTGAGCCCAGGATGTTGAGGCTGCTGTGAGCTGAGATGATGCCCCTGCACCCCAACCTGAATGACAGAGAAAATCCTGTCTCAAAAAAAAAGAAAAGAAAATCCAGTGATGACGTAAATTCTTGGAATTAATAAGAATTTAGCAAAGTTACTGGATACAACAAAAATGTATTTCTTGTCTCTATACTAGTAATAGAAAATAGAATTTTTATCCAGGCACAGTGGCTCACACCTGTAAGCCCAGCACTTTGGAAGGCCAAGGTGGGCAGATCACCTGAGGTCCAGAGTTCAAGACCAGCCTGGCCAACAAAGCAAAACCCTATCTCTACTAAAAATACAAAAATTAGCCAGGCATGGTGGCAGACGCCTGTAATCCCAGCTACTTGGGAGACTGAAGCAGGAAAATCACTTGAACCCGGGAGGCAGAGGTTGCAGTGATCTGAGATTGCATCATCGTACTCTAACCTGGACAACAAGAGTGAAATTCCATCTCAAAAAAATAAAATTAAATAGAATTTTCAAAGAGGCTACTGTTTACAACAATATAAAAATTATCAGATACATAATGATATATCTAGCAGAAGTTGTGTAAGACCTCTGTACAGAAAACTAGAAAATATTATTTAAAGATATTTTAAAAGACCAAAATAACTTGAAAGGATATACCATGTTCATATTATGACAAGCCCAGTGTTGTAAAGTTATCAGTTGAAATATAATGTGAACCAACCAGGCATGGTAGCTCATGCCTATAATCCCAGCACTTTGGGAGGCCAAGGTGGACAGTTTGCCTGAGCCTAGGAGTTTGAGACCAGCTTGGGCAACATGGGAAAAACCCATCTCTACAAAAATAAAAAAATTAGTCAGATGTGGTGGTACATGCCAGTGGTCCAGCTACTCAGGAGGCTGAGGTGGGAGGATTACTTGAGCCTGGGAGGTCAAGGCTGCAGTGAGCCCTGATCACACCACTACACTCTAACCTGAATAACAGTGAAGAGGGAGACCTGTCTCAAAAAATATATATATATAATGCGAACCACATACATAATTTTCAGTTTTCTAGTAGCTACATTTAAAAAAGTAAAAAGAGGCTGGGTGTGGTGGCTCATGCCTGTAATCCCAGCACTTTGGGAGGCCAAAGTGGGTTGATCACCTGAGGTCAGGAGTTTGAGGCCAGCCTGGCCAACATGGTGAAACCCTGTCTCTACTAAAAATACAAAAATTAGCCAGGCGTCATGGCACACACCTGTAATTCCAGCTACTTGGGAGGTTGAGGCAGGAGAATCACTTGAACCTGGGAGGCGGAGGTTGCAGTAAGCTGAGATCACACCACTGCATTCCAGCCTAGATGACAAGAGAGAAACTCCTCCTCAAAAAATAAAAAAGTAAAAAGAAGCAAAGTTAATCGTAGTATTTTATTTAACCCAGTTTGCCCAAGATGTTATTTCAGCATGTAACCAATGTTAAAAAGTAATTGAGGTATTGTAAAATATTTTTTTCATACTCATTTGAAATTCAGTGTGCATTTTACACTTACAGTTTGGATTGGCCACATTTCAGGTGCTCAGTAGCCCTATGTGGCTAGTGGCTACTATACTGGGTGACAAACTATAGTTTCAATTCAAATCACATAAAAATCCTAACAACTTTTTAATGTGGATCTTGATAAACTGATTCTAATATGATAATACAAAGGACCAAAAATAGCTGAAACACTCTTGAAGACCAAGATAGGAAGACTTGCTTTACCAGGTATCAGTCTTATTATAACAGTAATTAAGATTATATGACATTGAAACAAGTGTAGAAAGTAGATCTGTATAATAGAATAAAGAGCCCAGAAATAGATCTATATATATGGATACTTAATTTGCGACCATTGGGAATTTCAGAGCAGTAGGGAAAGAACAGCCTTTTCTTAATTAATCATTCTGGAAAAGTTAATATTCGTATAAAAAATAGGCAGGAATTGGTAGCTCACCTGTAATCCCAGCACTTTGGGAGGCTGAGGCGGGAGGATTACTTGAGGCCATGAGTTCAAGAATGTAAAAATATCTGGGTGGGGTAGTGCACACCTGTAGTCCTAGCTACTTGGGAGGCTGAGATGGGAGACTCACTTGAGCCCAGGAGGTCAAAGCTGCAGTGAGACATGATCATGCCACTGCAGTCCAGCCTGGGTAATAGAGCAAGACCCTGTCTCGCAAAAGAATTTACTTTAAAAGAATTAAAAATTGGCCTGGCATGGTGGCTTATACCTGTAATCCTAGCACTTTGGGAGGCCACGGCAGGTGGATCATGAGGTCAGGAGTTCAAGAGCAACCTGGCCAAGATGGTGAAACCCTGTCTCTACTAAAAATACAAAAAAAATTAACCAGGTGGGGTGGTGGGTGCCTGTAATGCCAGCTACTTGGGAGGCTGAGTCAGGAGAATCACTTGAACCTGGGAGGTGGAGGTTGCAGTGAGCCGAGATCGTGCCACTGCACTCTAGCCTGAGTGACAGAGCAAGACTCGTGTCTCAAAAAAAAAAAGAATTAAAAAAAATTTTTAAGAAATCCTACCTTCCACCATACATAAAAATCATTATCTTAAGAGGGAAAAAAAAATCATTGTCAATCTATCAAGAACTCCAATCAGTAAGAAAAAAACCAACTCAATAAAAACATGGGCAAGAGACTTAGGGATCTGACAGAGGAGGATATTGAGTGGCCAAAAAACTTATGAAAAGATACTCAATCTTGTTAATCAGAAAATACAAATTAAAATCACAAGGAACTATCACTGCATACTCACCAGAATGGCTAAAATTAAAAAGATTGACAAGAGCATTGTGAATCATTTTTGGCCTAGACTGCTGCCCTTTAACAGAATTTTTAAAAATTTAAAGACTGACAGTACAAAATGGTGGGATGTGAAGCAGTGGCAACTTTTATACATAGCTAGAGGGAATATAAATACTCATATAACCACTTTAGAAAGCAATTTTTGTCCTTCTAAAGACAAATATATGTATACCATCATCCACTAATCTCCACATCTAGATAGACATGCACCCATGTTAAAAGAATCTGATTACTCACACATCAAAAAACAAGTACAAAGCCATTCATAGCAACATTATTTGTAATAGCCAAAAAGTGGAAACCTGATTATGAACAGAGGAATGAATTAATAAATGATGTTATATTTGTACAGTTGAATACAATAGAATTTTTATTTACTATATGTATTTTAGGTTCTGTGGACCACACATAGTCTCTGTCACATATTCTTTGTATTTTTTTCCAACCCTGTAAAAACATAAAACAATTCTTAACTTGAGAGCCATACATAAACAGGCTGAAGACTTGGCCCATGGGTGTGTGTAGTATGCCATATAACAAAGAAAATGAACAAACCACAGTTACATGCACCAACTTAGATAAATCTCACAAGAATTTGGAGCTAAGGAAGTTCAAACACAAAAGAATAAGTACTATGTGATTCTATTTGTAAAGTTTACAAAGCAGGCAAAACTAAGGTGTAGTTTTTAGGGTTCATATTTAGATGGTTAAAAGCCTGAGGCAAAATAAGGAAAGTGGTTACACTGGATAAGGGGTTCTGGCAATGTTATGTTTCTTGGCCAGATGACTATTCAGTTTGTGGTAAATCACTGAGCTGTGTACTTTCGGTGTTTCTGTTTGGGGTTTTTGGGGGCATTTTATATTCTTCTACACAATAAAAAAGGTCTAAAAAGATGTGCTACGTAAGTGAATGTTCAGTGAACTTTCATCACTGAACCTTTATCACTTCATCTACTTTGATCCCTCCCTTTCAGCAAACAAACACTCTCTTGTGTTGAAGAAACAAAATCTTTCTTTGACCTGGCCTTCCTTTCAAGTTACCGTACCATCTTCCTGCATCCTTTCAACACAAAGCCTCTTTAAAAACTAGTCTATGCTTTCTGTTAATACTTTTTTGGCTTCTTTTATTCCACAGCCTATTTGTCATTCATCCCCATCACTCTACTGAAACTGCTCTCACTATAGCTATACGTGGTCTTCTGGTTGCTAAACCCAGTGGCAGGTTGTCAAAAGGCTGACTGTACCATTCATTCACACAATTCATTTAACAGATGTTTGAGTTCTTGCTACTCATCATACTTGAGATGTAGTATGAACAAGGCTGAAAAGGTGTTTGGTAGTCTTCAGAACTTATATTTTAGTGGGGGAGACAAGGAATTAATTTCTAAACAAATAGTTTCAGATAGTAATAAGAGATATAAGGATAATAAATCAGAATAAT